GTGCGCACTCTGATGTAAATAAGCGCGGACGAAAAGCACATGGCGGAACATGTGAGAGACGCTCTGGATGAAAGCGCACTTTCACTCTCTGACAGCAGATGGCGCTAAACTGCAGAAATAATAATAATATTATTATTATTATTATTAATTCATTTAAATGCAGCCGTTACCCCGTAAACCCTGTAAACAAAGCAGCTGCACTACTTTCTGTTTCTGAATCGTGTTTAAATGATTTAAACAGCCATTCAGATTTGTGTATTTGCTATGATGTTCATCACAGCGCCAAATACTTAAATATTTAGACTTAATAGGCTATTTATTTTCAATCTTTTTTTACATTTTAATCTGGACTACAACATGCCCTAGATAAGTGTTTTGAGTGTTTTGATTCTTTATTGTTCGGATGTTTATGCACACTTTACATTAGGGCTTCATTAGTAGTTAACATAAAAAATTCTTCTGAACATTCATTAATCTTAGGTATTCCAATATTTAATAACACGTTGTTAACATCGAAAGTTGCAACTGTGTTATTAATGAGCTAACATGAACTAAGACTTGTATTTTTTAAACAAAGATTAATAACTTCTGTAGCAAATGTAGCTATTGCTCATTGTGAATGTTAATGCATTAACTAAGGTTAACTAATTATTGTAAAGTGTAAAGTGATACCTATTGGTCTTTATAGTTCTTTTGCACTTTAATCTGTGTAAAACTTTTTACATTTTTCATTTTTCTGTATTGCTTTATTGCATTTAAATGTTCAGTTATTTTTGTTATAAGAAAAAAGTTATTAAACCTGTTATACTCTATTACAGCACTTTTTTTTAAACTAAATTTCAATATTGTGATAATACCGTATACCGTGACAAAAGCATTAGCAATTAATCGCAACATGAAAATTTGATACCGGCATATCCCTACTCCACACAGATGTTTTTAATTCACAATAAGCTACAGAATACATAGAAAACTGAATCTATGGGACTAATAGAGAATCGCGCTTTGGTTCCTATTTTAGAATGACTTTAAAAAGTAATTGTAGCCTAGTTACAGCGAAAAATTAATTTAGGTTGTATTATATATGTAGTTCCTACATTATTTTTCTATACATTGACTCACTGGGTCTCTAACCTGCAATATGCACTTTAAAGGGGCCCTATTACGCTCTTTTAGAAAGTCTTGATTTTGTTTTGGGGGTGTACTAGAACAGGCTCTCATACTAGGTTGATCGAAAAATACTTTATTTTTCACATACTTTACATTATTACAACACCTCTCTCCTCAATCTGGCACGAACGGCTCGAATAGTTCCTGTATCAAATGAAGGCCCGCCTTCTGAAATACTAAATGTGCTGTGATTGGTTAGCTGGGCCAGTGTGTGCTGTGATCGGTCAGCTGGGCCAGTGTGTGTTGTGAATGGTTAGCTGGGCCAGTGTGTGTTATGAATGGTTAGCTGGGCCAGTGTGTGCTGTGATCAGTTAGCTGGGCCAGTGTAACTGGCCGGTTAACTGGCCCATCCAAACTGGATGATTGTAACCACTCTAAGTTCGTCTGTCTTGGGAAAGCTAGCGTGTCTCCGACATAGTGATAACACTCG